CTATGTCTATGTGGTGACAATTTACAAAAGCTGAGCTTCACACTTGCTGAGAAGCGCGCAAATTTAGGAAAGTGGAGTACTTAGTAAGAATGGGCAATTGAGATTAGGCAATTGGAAGCCGTTAAAAAAATTTAATATTGAGAGATACAAAAGCTAAATGAGATTCGGTTCCAGTTTATCAGTTAATTTCGTCTAAATTTAATTTTAAGATTTGACAGCAAATATTTGGAAATGAATCCTGGCTGTTTTTACTGAAAACATCCAAAACAAAATAACACTTTTCACACTTGAAATAACTCATAGCTTCAAATGTGGCACTTTTCGACTAAACATAGTTTTTTTTTTTAATGGGCGTCATGAAACCGTCTCATAGAAGAAGGCTTGGAAAATGGATATCAAATTGCTAGCACTTCCATTAGAGCAAATTTGGATAAAACTAGTCGAGAAAAAAACTAGCAGCAAATTTCTCTCTGAATTTTTTTTTTAATTTGGTGTGGCAATAAATTTAAAGAATAGTTTTCAAAATTTATGCGTTTTAAGTCATAATTTTTGCAATGACTCCTAATAATGCCTTTATAAGATCAACAACAAAAAAAACATTTAGTGCCTGCAACTAATGGAAAACATATGTTGAATTGAGATGCGGCCCGCGGTTTTACCCAGGTATCATTTTCTGGCCCGTCTGCGAGAAAGGTTGCACACCCCTGATTTAAAGAGATGATTTAAATGAATCAGACTTTACGCTAAAGCCTGACAAGTGACAATATATATTCGTTATATATAAGTCTATTCAAACAAATATACTCTTCTCTTTCTCAAAGGGTGAATGAACATTTTAAGTGCTTATTGCTAGCCATCATGGAATAAACAATTTACGGGCTATAACGTATTTCGGTGTGAGCAAGTATATTGAATAGAAAATTTGTTTTGCCTCAGTATCAAACATCCAAATAAGAATACACCTGTTGTGTTCTAAACGCTACACTTAACTTTCACTCTTCTATTTCAATTAATTAATTGATATTAGGAACCGAATAAAAATTGAAAAAACAAAAAATATGCAACAACGACAAAATGAAAGATGGGAAATGTGTGAAAATAATTCACACTAGCAAGGAATGTTTTATACCGACAAAAATGAAAATGTAAAATCTATTTAAGCGACTTGACAGCAAAAAATAATTGAAATACAGTACGCAAGGCAAAGAACTTTACGAAGAAACGCCTTCGAATAAACTTGTCGAATTAACAAATCAAATTTCAACAATAGCTTAACAAATACGCTCATTTTGTCATATGATTATAATTTCACCTCTTTCTTATATTTTTTAAGAATTTATTTCATTTTGTGTTATTTTTTCAGTACACGCACAAGCTTGGACAGTGCTCCGCAATAATAGAAGAGACAAAATATCGCATAAATAATATTAATTAATTTACCTGCCTTTAGTTCAAATAGCTGAGTGTGTTACACTAGAGATGTACCGATATCACAAAAATACTAATTAAAACTAAATATAATCGGACAGTTTGAAACACTTTTTATGGCTGTGGTTGCCGCGATATTTCGTAGAAAGAACTTTTGTCGGCGCTACCGCAGGTTACAATAAACACACAATTAAATTAATAAAGCAAAACATTATAAGTAGTCTCTGATTATTCGTCAATTGAATACTTCGACAACTACAAACTCATTACAACAACAAAATCATTACTCAACAACATAACAGAAAAGACATTATCCGTCGAAAAAGTTGGCCTTTTTCGTAAGTGGCCTGTCTAATTGCGGCGAACAGTTTCATGGAAATTTCCGTTTTCTTTCAAATTTTTTCAGAACGTGGTTTTTATATCAAATTTAAATTTTTTGCATTAATGGCAAAGGTCTCACAAAATTCCTCTGCACATTATTCATAATACACATAATTTAAGATTGAATAAGAAATATATCACATAAAAACAATTGATGTTGGCGATCCGGATGCATTAATTGATTCGAGTGTATTGTAAACTGGCGCTAGTAATCTTAGTGTTCAATTAGAAAACTCACAGCATAACGTCGTATTCTGTATTTTACATATTCGAAAATACAGTAATTTTTAAATTTCTTCCTAATTGCATATCAAAAATGTCAATATGAAATTTCTGCACAAAATATCCGAATTAGTTGAACTAGTTTGTCTGAAATAGCTAAAAAAAAACAGGTATACTTGCGGGGGTGGGGACGTGCATGGCTCTTAGTTTAGATCCACTTAAATTTTGAAACATTTTTGATCATATTTAAAAGCTAACTATATAGGAAATATCGGTAAACATTTAGCCGATACCGATACAATACCAATGCCGAAAAATTGGCCGATATTGCCGATACCGATACATCGGTACATCTCCACACCAGACTAGAGGACACAAAAGGGATTGCTCTAGGTCATAGGTTCTCAAAGTGCTCCGTACGGAGCCCCAGGGCTCCGCGAGAGAAACCCAGGGGCTCCGCGAGCTATTGGATTACTTTTAAAAATACTGACTAATTTTGTAACTGTTCAAAGAAGCAATAACAGCTTTGATAAAATCTGACAACAATATAATCTCGAAATATGGCAAAGAGGCTGAATTAAAAAATGACATTATTCATAAGCAGAAGCGCGGCCAGGATTCTTAAGTGAGAGGTGGTTCAAAATTGGAATCGGAAATTCTTCATTCTTCGCGATTAAATAAAGGGATAACGAGATTTCTGTTGTGTTGCGAGATTTCTCACTCACGTTTGATTCGAGATTACTATTAGGATTACTAAAATGGAATAATACTATCTAAAATAACATAAAATATGTGATAAACTGCCAACTATAAATAAATTGGAGTCGTATTTTTGCGATCTGGGATTTGTCAAACTTGATTTGTTCTTTCGCACTTAAGATTATTTTTAAGCAAGATATCGCCGTTTTAAAAATCCTAATGTCTGGGCAAATACGAACAATTGAAATTTATTTTATTGCATTCGGCTCCGTCGGTAGTTTCAGAATGAAAAAAAAGGTACTCGCGGAACCGCGCGCACAATTGATTGCGTGCGGCTCTGTCGGTAGTTTCAGAATGGGAAGAAAGGTACATCGCGCGCACAATTGACTGTGTTTCGATTTCGCAGTTACTACGAAGAAAACCTAACATAACACCAAATTTTGTGATTTACAATGTCTATAAAAGCGTTTTCAATCTGAGGTGAGTCTGCTGAAACCAAACGTGTGATCTTCCATTTTAATTTTTAGTTTTAATATTTTAGAATGCCGCTTCGCAATCAAGAAATTTGAGATGCGGATTTACCTTTTTATTAATGATTATTTTTAGCATTTCGTCGCCGATGACTATAATATGGTGAAATGTTTTTCACATTGAACTCATAATTCCCCACAAAAACAAAAAAGCAATTAACTTCGTCATTATGTAACAATACACGTACTCGTTGTGTAACAATACATGTACTCGTATATGCCGAGAGAAATTTTTGATTTAGGGAGAATAAACACCGGCGTAACGAGGTTTAAAGGTTCAAAAACATGCCATGCTGACAAAAAAAATTGGCGATTGTAACAAAATACAATGGCGCACGTTATAAGCGGCCTTTCAAGTCTTCTAAAAATGTCAAAAGGTAAAAGATTCGACCCCTAATTTATTCATATGTTTGTCAAGTGTCAGATTTACAGCTTTAGTATATATAATTTATGTTTAAAATTTAGAAATAATTATGACTTGTATTAACCCTATTAAAAAGGTTCAGCATTTAAATTAGGTAAAGTACTTTTAACTTGCTCAGGAATATTAATCTGAAAAGTAACAATTTTAACATTTCTTTTGGGGCTCCGTGAATAATAATCAACCTTTTCAAGGGCTCCGCAACACCAAAAGTTTGAGAACCCCTGCTCTAGGTAACGTGTTGTTCAGAATGATTGTTGTTATCTTTTCACGACAAATTAAAAATGGTCTGGTTCTAACAGACTTTGCCATTACAAATTTATAGGTGCGTATTGGTAATTAAACTGGGGAAAATGAAGAAAGAAATGCAATCTTTCTCCTAAGCCTATAAGATAAGTTTATACTCAATATACAAAAAAAATAATTTGTCGCAGATTTCGCAGATTTACAAATATTACCTATTTGGAATTCTCTTTTAGTACATTGAGTATACTATAATAGCTAAGTGTATACTGAGTCTGATCCCGGGTATACAAGTAACAATTGGTATTCGATGAACTACTAACTACAGCATGATTCCAATAAATTTCCCGGGTCGTTTTGTGTTTTTGAACGCGCACAGGTCCCGTTCAACATCGGGACTCACTAATTCATAAAGTGTTTATCTATCTACGGCAACAAATTTTGCGAGATGAATTACATGGGCGATTAGAAACCATGCTACGCAAAAAAATAATAACTATTTGCGGAGAGATATACAGAAAAAGTCTGCGGCTACGTTAATTTTGAGTACAATCTATAGTCATAAATCAACATTAATTTTGACGCAGTTTGTTAATTTAGCACATATAATATCTTGTGACCAGAGTAAGACTTCTATCATGACTCCATGTAGCTATTATTTGCGAGGTACATACGAAGAAAATAAAAATTGAAAACTATGCAATGCATAGTAAAAGTTTCAAGAGCACTATTTTGGGCACTATTATTTATATTGGGATCTTTTATGCAAAGTCCTCACCAATGCAAAAATGTGAGATTTGAAAAAAAAACCGGGCCAAGTTTCAAAAAACAAATAAGTAATTATCTAGTTAAGGATAGGAGCAGTGTAAAATTTTTTTTTCCATCGCGATCTGCATTTCTAACCCAAACCCAGACAGAATAACTTTTGGTACTCCTGAAGTATGCGCACCAAGATGTCGCACAACCTGAACCCTAACCTTGTACTATTTTTATTGTGGGAGGGGGTGTACAAAAGATCCTTAAGTTGATCCTAAATATGCAATGAAATTGAAAGACTCAAAAGATTTCGATTACATACTTGCTCTGCTGGCCAGATTCGATAGGCTTTCATCTCGCTCAGTGATGATTATCAGACAAATGACGAGGCATTTCTTTTGATGAAATGATGTACAGTATTGCTAAGTTTCAATCAGTGTTTCAGAAAACTGAAAATAAATGTATTTTTAGTTAATTCTCAAATTATCAGTGACGTATTTAGGTAATGACAGCTATAGCTACTACCATTGGCGACTTTGGATTCCGGCGCAAAAAGAGTGTGAAGTTCTAGTCATAACTTGTTACAATAAAATATTTCTGACTAATCACGAATTCCAAATTGAAGAGTTAAACGTGGAAGTTTTCATATCTGCAGTGGAATATAGTGAATTTTACATAAGTTAAGCTGAGTAAAAAAAAGGGCCTTCATCGAACCAAGTTGAGAAACACCGATATAGACAGTGCTGTACTAGTTACACCATATTCACTGGCTATTGGCCCAGTTAGTGGGTTGTTCAGAATGATTGTTTCCACCTTTTTAACGCCAAATTACAGTTTTGTTGGGCAAAATAGTTAAATACATGGCGCAATTCTACGAAATGAAAATGGTCTGTTTTTAATAGACTTTGCCATTAAAAACGATGGGGGCATTGGTGCTTGAACTGGCAAATGGGGTACCGGTACCGAAGAAACACAATCTTTCTGCTATAAGCTTATACTTTATTTACAAAAAAGTTTTCGCAGATTTCACAAAATTACAATTATTACCTAGTAGTAATGATCTTTTGGTGCGGTGATATTCAACCGGGTATACCATAATAGCTAAGGGTATGCCAAGTCAGATCTCGACTATACAAATACCAATTGGTAAACAGCTATAGACTGATTCGAATAAATGTCAAGGCTCGTTTTTAGTTCATAAATGCGCATAAGCCACGTTCAACATTGAGACTCACTATATTCATAAAGTATTTGTCTGTTCAAGCCACGAATTTAGCGAGATGAATTACATGAGCGAGTAGAAACCATACTATGCAAAAGATAAGGGTTGGAGGACAAATACACAGAAAAATATGCGGCTACGTTATTCGCTAATTTTTGAGCATTAGCACACATAATATTCTGCGACCCGACTAAGACTTCTGTCATGACTTCACTAAACAACTTTTTTCTACTTTATAATTAAATAACCTCCGTTATATGCAAGGTACATACGAAGAAAATGAAATTTGAAAAATATGCAACGCGTAGTAAAATGTTTAAGAGCACTAATTTAGTGTATTAGAATGGGATCTTTCGTAAAGGCCTTCAGAACGAATGCAAAAATGTGAGATTTAATAAAACCAACTGTGCTAAGTTTTTAATAAACAAATAACAATTTGTAAATTTGTATTTCCAGCGCAATCTGCAATTCTATCCCAACTCCGACACAATAATTACAAATTTATTATTCTGAACGTCAGCGGGGGTGTTTGGTTTTTACCGGGGGAGAGGGTGTACAAAAGATACTTGAATTTATCGTAAATATGCAAATGAAGACTCAAAAGATTTCGATTACATACTTGCTCTGCTGGCCAGACTCGATAAGCTTTCATCTTGTTCAGTTGTGAATACCAGACAAATGACAACGACGAATTTCTTTTGATTAAATGATGTTGTCAACTTTCAAGCAGTGTTTTAAAAATCTGAAAATAGATGTATTTTTAGTTTTTCACAAAATATCATTGGCGTGTCTAAGGTATTACAGCTATGGCTTCTGCACTAGGCGCCGAATAGTGCACCAAAAACTAGGGTTCCAATCGAACCCAGGTTAAGAAACGTCTCTCTCTATACGCAGCGCTGTACTCATTACAGCATATTCACTGGTTATTGCTCTGGTTTGAAGTTCAATTTCAATTAGTTAGATGATTAGAATAATATTTTGGTGCAGTGATAAATAACCGGGTATACTATATACCCAAATGTATACTAAGTCAGATCCCAGGTATAAAAATAATTATTCTGAACGCGAAAAAAATATTTATTGGTGGAGAGATAAACAGAAAAGACTGCGGCTACCTTTGTCATTTGCGAGGTACATACAAAGGAAATAAAAATTGAAAAAAGAAGGTTTAACACATAGTAAAATATTGAATAGCACTGTTTAGTGTATAAGATTGGGATCATTCGTACAAAGCCCTCAAAACCAATGTAAAAATGTGAGATATGATAAAAATCCCCTTGCAAAACAACAACCCTCGAAATTGTGTCCCAGCAATCAAAAGGGGCGTATTTTTGAACTTTGTCATGGCCGCGATTTTGCGTAGATACATCCCTGCAAATAATTCAGAATTTTCCCCAAATTTATGAAATATTACTTATTTGGAATGATCTGTCAGTACATTGTGTTGCATCTTATCAGACTCTACAGTCACAGATATATGCAGACGTTTAATTTCATGAAATACTACTCGCCGTTTTAGAATATAACAAATATTATTATAACAAGAAACTATTCAATGACGTTTTTTTACAATTGTTTATGAAATATATGACTCATCACTTCTAGGCAGTAATATGTAGCATTATCACACTGTTTACGGAATCAATAGATGTCGAAAAATCAATTAAAATGTTTAAATATTATTTACTTGGAGACTTTTCCCTCGTATCTTCATCCTTTCTTCGTATCTTTCAAGTTCTGAATCTGAAAAATTAAGATAATAATAATAAACGGTTGCATAACTTTGAAGCATTTCTAAATGCGTGAACGGGGCTAAATCAAGCCCTAATAGCTAAAAAACATAAAAGCCATGACAAGTATTGGCTATATATAGCCTCATAAATCCATGAATTCGGGGTTTCCGAAGTTATGTATTACATTTGGCTAAAGCATGTCATACTAAGTCCAGCTTAATTAAGTAGTGACAAAGCGTATATCGGGCGCGGCTTAAAAAGTTTGAGTCCCACTGAATTTCAAGATATAATATTTGATGACTCCTGAGAAAATATCAAAAATCTGATCGGCAATGTTGTTAACTTTGTAGCTTTTGCTAACTTGTCAATTTATAACGAATCGCACGTAGGGTTAAATTTGTATTCCATTTTAAAAGTAAGATGAGATTGTCATTTTAACCAACAAGATTTAGAAATCAGATTATGAAAAACAATACGGACAAATATTGAGATAGTGAGCAACAGCCTTGCACTGCGCCCCGAAAAATTGATCTTTCATACAACCAAAAGGGAAAGCAGTAGAAAGTAGAAACATAAGTTATAATTAAACTTACCTGAATATTGTTCCAAAGAGACAACGTAATGAAGAGTTGGCGTAATATTCTAGTAGCTGTCCGCGACAAAATCGACCGCACTCCATCATGTACATTTGCTACTGAGGCGTTGTCGCTTGTGCTTCGCGCGCCAAATGTTTGACGAAAACGCTAATTAATAATTTGTAATCAAAAGTTTTTAATTGGCCCCGTTGCTCCTGATCAACCGTGGGTTGCCACGATCCGATCACGCTTCTGACACGTGTTCACACAACATAAACAATGCAGATGACAGTCGGCATTCGCTTAATATTACTTGTGATTATTTGAATATCCCATTTACACCAATTTCTTCGTCCAAACCAAACGCTGGAGACATAACTAGGGGCGGATTAAGCGCCTTTGGTGCCCCAAGCACTGAAGAATTTAGTGCCCTCTCATGTGTAATTTGATTATAAAAACCGATAAACCACATAGGTGTATTATCCATTGAAAATAATCACAACTAACAGTAAATAAAACAACTTTTACGAACATTTTTAGTTTTTTTACCGGTTATATATAGCCGATATATATATATATATCGGCCGTTTACTGCCGATATGAAATATCGGCAAACACGCAATATCGGGCCGATATATCGGTTGAGCTTCAATCCCGATGGAGTGTGACAATAAAGATTCATGCCTCCAGTCTCAACGTGAATCGAAATACCAAAGGATACAAGTCACAACTGTAGTTTGAAATTTTACCGGTACCTAGTAGTCTACCTCAGAGTGGTTCAAGGTTGCTAGGTTGAAGGACCGCAAAAACTTTTCGTGTCCAACAATTAAGTTTCAGTGTTTACTTTTAATAAAGAAGGTTAATATGATGTTTGAAGACGAAAAATAAGCGAACATTTTGAAGTTTGAGTCGTCTAGTGAACTCGTAATATTTAATAAACACCGATAAACTATATAAAATTCTGCTCTAATTATTCGCTATTTGATTAAGATTCACAGATATATATAATACCTTAACATAAAATATTTAACTTACTAATAATTTGACAAAATGGAGAGAAAAATCGACGAACTCAAGAAAACACTGGATTTAATGGAACAGAGAATAACAAAAAACCTGAAAATCGAGATTAGGGCCATTGTGGGAGATACCATCAAAGATCTTTTAGAAGACTCCATCAATGAACATGACCAAAAGATGTCCACCCAAATAAGTGAGTCTGTTCATAATAATACTCAACACATGGCCGAGCGTCTTGACGTTATGTTCAAACACAGTGGCGATATGATGAGTAAGGTGGATAAATTGATGGAGGAAGTGAGTGGGATCCAGTCTAGGAATAACACCCTACAACATAATGTTGAAATCGTGCAAGCCAGTCAGGACTTCATAAACGCGGAGTTCGAAATACAAAAAAGTTATGTAGCGGACCTTCACAACAAAGTTGAGAAGTTATCGGTCTCCAATAAGGCTCGCGAAAATCAAGTCTCATTGCTTCAACGCAGATTTGACAAAGACTTTGAGGACTTGGCACAATACACCAGAAGGGAAAATCTGGAATTTCACGGCATTCCGTACAAAGAAGGAGAATGTACTGATGATATCATCATAAAAATGGGCCAGCTTTTAAATATAAAAATAGATAGACTGGACATCTCTGTCTCTCACAGACTTCTGCGGAGAGACAAGTCTAAGATTCCCCCTATTATAGTTCGCTTCACAACCAGGAACAAAAAAAACGAATTTTTGAGTAATAAACGCAACATTTCCAGCATTTCCAATTTTGGAGTCACCGGCATGAATTTCCTGTATATAAATGAACACTTGACAGATTATAGGAGTAATCTACTATACAATGCTCGTGTGGCAAGAAAAACGAACAAATACGAAAGACTTTGGACTACCAACGGAAACATTTATGTAAGAAAAAACAGAGATTCTCCTAGAATTCCAATTACTAAGCTAGATGACCTTCAAAAATTGGAATAAACAACTGTCTTCAGAGCAAGTTGAAATTTTATAATTGGTATAAAAATGGCTTCCATAGACTTTTGCCCCTCTTGTGAAAAACCAACTTCATTTAATTTCATATCTTGTGATAATCGTAGTGCTAGAACATGTTCTATGTGCTCTTTTTCTGTACATTCAACCTCAAATTTATCCGGCACTAGCCATTACTGTTCTAAATGCTATGAATTGATAATTCCCGTTCCTATCAACTCTGATTTTATAGACAGAGAAACCCATGTTTTGAATACAACTACCTTCGACTTTGAAAATGTTGAAAATTGTGTTTTTCTTAATAATCCGAAAGATGTGTTAAAATCTCTCACTCAATTAAAAAACTCAATAGTTTTGGCTCACATGAACATTCGTTCTATCCAAAAAAATTGTGATGAGTTGTCAAGACTTGTTTACGAACTAGAATCTACTCCAACATTTATCGCAATCTCAGAAACAAAACTAAAATCTAACCCTGTGACTAATATCAACATAGATGGGTATGACTTTTACCACACACCATCCAACACTAATGCTGGTGGTGTAGGTTTGTACATGAAATCTCACTTTTGTCCAAGTTTTATCGATGACTATCTTCTGAATCTTGTCGGATGTGAAGAGCTCTGGGTGGAAATACCCATCAAATCTGCCAAACCCATTACTTTAATTATTGGCATCCTCTACCGCCATCCCAATTCGAATTATCATGAATTTTTCAGTAAATTACAAAACAGCTTGCATAACTTAACTAATGATGGGAAAATTTTTATTATTGTGGGTGATATAAATATTAATCTTAACGCTAAAACACTTTTTATCAAGGAATACTTAGACATGCTGCAGTCCCATGCCACAATTCCCATGATCACGCTTCCCACCAGAGTGACTGGTAACTCTGCAAGTTTACTCGATCATATATATACTAACATCACTGATCAACATATGAAACCAATTGTATTGAACGATACTACGACTGATCATTATCCTATTCTATGTCAGATTGACCTGGAACATGCACCCCCTCAGCATGTTGCAGAACTCAAACGAGACATGAGACATTTCAGTACGGACCAGTTTTTGAATGATGCCCAAATTGTGTTTTGCAATGAAACTATGCCACAAGTAATACAAATTGAAAATTTTAACAATATTTTTGATGAATTTGTCTCCCATCTCAGGACCTTAATCGATAAACATGCCCCCCTAAAAAAAATAAGCAGGAAAGAAATTCGATTGAAACGAAAACCATGGATTACTCCAGGTATTTTACGTGCTGCCAAAACTAGGGATAAATTACACAAGGTATTATTTTTGAATGGCACTGATACTCAAAAGCGCCAATATAAAAAATATTCGAATGCCCTTACTCATATCAAAAATAAAGCCAAAGAGGACTACTACAAAAAATGTTTTGATAAGCATAGATATGATACGAAAATGACCTGGAAGACCATCAACTCTATCATAAATCAAAAAACTAAAAAATCTCATCCCAATTCTTTATTTGATGATACCCAAAATAGATTGATTGGAGAGCCGAATGCTCTCTCTAACTTGTTCAACAGTTACTTTTCTAAAATAGGGCCATCGCTGGCGTCATCTTTCTCCAACACCAATGATTTACTGAAATATTTGAAACATCCGAATCAGTCGTCCATGTTTTTGGAGGAGACCTCCCCTGCTGAGATCGAAATGTTTGTAGATTCCCTAGCATCTGGTAAGGCGGAGGGTCATGATCACATCCCAACACACCTTTTGAAGCTTTTGAACAAAATTATTAGTCCCATATTAACCAAACTTTTTAATGCCTCTATGTCCCTTGGAATTTTCCCCAGTCATATGAAAGTAGCTAGAGTGGTGCCTGTGTACAAATCCGGGAATAAGAATATGGTTTCAAATTATCGTCCTATTTCAATTTTATCGTGTCTGTCTATTCTTTTTGAAAAAATATTACTAAAGAGATTAAAATCTTTCCTTGATAAATACTCAATATTGAATAACGATCAGTTTGGCTTTAGAAACGAACATAGCACATCAGATGCTATCTTAGATATTGTGAGCCAGTATTATGACATTGTAGAAAATGGATTTGTAGGGTGCAGTGTGTTTTTAGATCTGAAAAAGGCATTCGATACCGTAGATCACAAAATTTTAATTCGTAAATTAAGTCATTATGGAATTCGCGGTGTTGTAAACAAGTTGTTTGCTAGCTATTTGGAAAATAGAAGTCAATTTGTGAACATATCTGGTACTGAATCACTGAAAGCAAATGTGACTGTAGGAGTTCCCCAGGGATCTGTACTCGGCCCGACCCTTTTTTTGCTCCATATCAATGATATTGTCCATGCCACTAATGCTTCGATCAAACTTTTTGCGGATGACACCAGTTCCACCTCTGCTACAAGGAATCTGTCCGACTTGGAACTAAAAGTTAATGTTGAACTTCATAATATTTCTGATTGGCTCACTCACAACAAACTCACCGTTAATCCCAACAAGACGCAAGTCTTACTAATTAATTGTTTCAAAAAGCTTAAAAATTCCAATTACAACCCTAAGTTCACTCTAAACGATTTTGAATTGACTAACCATGATTGTGTAAAATACCTTGGAGTCATCCTGGATAAAAAACTCGATTGGCAAGCACATATCAACCAACTAGCTGGTCGGCTTTCAAGGGCAATTGGGGCCATGACTAAATTAAAAAAATTTGTACCAAAAAAAGTTTTAAAAACTGTGTATTTTTCACTCTTCTATTCCCATTTACAATATGGAATTGTGGCATGGGGCTCTGCTTGTAAAACTTATCTCAATAGGATTTGTGTACTTCAAAATCGTGCCCTAAGATTAATGAGTGGCGCACGTATGCGTGAAAGCTTAGATCCTATATACAGACAGATGAGTATTCTCAAACTTGCGGATGTATATAAATTTGAAGTTGCGAAATTTATGTTTCGATCTAAATGTGGTATTTTGCCGGATGCATTTGAAAACTACTTCACAAACTCTAGTGATATCCATGGACATAATACTCGGTCGGCTGGTAGAGGAGCCTATTTTGTTAATAGAACAAGCTCAAATTTGGCTCAGAGATCCATAAAATTCACTGGTC